GGTTTGCCTTTTCCCAGCTCTTTTTACCGATGCTTAAAAAGAGTCTCTAGACCCTGGCTACAACCAGAAAAAAACCACTTGTTCTAGAACAGAGCCAAGATAAAGCACTGGTGTTCATCCTTCACCAGAAGACTCAAGATGGTGAATGGAGATGTGCATGAAGAGATCATCTTGCAGCCCTGTGCACAGGTCAGCTCTGCCAGCATCTTTAAGGAGCCTGCCTCTGTTTCTTGCCTTTTCCAGAAAGGATAGTTCAGAGTCCTGAACTCAAGCAAGAAGAACCAGGAACTCCCCTGGAACATCCAGAATCGCAGAAAAAGTCTTAGGAAAGGTATAGTGCTAGTAGTTTCTCATGTACACTTAGCCTTGCTTTCCAGAGGTTGAAACAGAAATGGGAGATCCATAAATAAAAGGTTATTTGCCAGCTGCCAATAGTCATGATGGATGTTCACCTAAAACATCTGTAGTTTCTGCAGATTCCCTCAACTACAGCAGGGAACAGGTTCTGAATTATGTAGGAACTCAGGGAAAAAGCTTGGCCGTTCCTGTTCTCCAGGTGTTCACATGCTACATCCCAGAAGGAAACAGGCAAGACAGACAGGGTTTATCAGCAGCCTAAACCCCCTGATTTTTTAAACTGAATTTCCTTTATTCCTTGAAAAATTGCACGTTGTGGCTCCAATAACCTCTGCAACAGATCTACGAACATCTGTGACTGCAACAAATCTCTGCAGGGAATACAAGCTTTTGCTGTGCAGTGTCTCTGCCTCAAGAATCCTCTGTGTGACATAGTTCTGATAACCACTACTGCATTTCCTTAGAACATTATTGACAAAAACACACGGTCCCATGAGATCTTCTGCAACTCCCTCCTTAGATACCTACAATTTTTACACTGTGCACAAACTGCTACCTATGAATACGGTGATTTTAGAAATACCTGAAAACAGTCCCCAGCATCATGCAACAACATACCCAGATAATCCTCTTCTGTGCCTCTTCAGCACAGCCCAGAGAGATTTCCTGTCACCACTTCACAGAGTAAAGCAATACACAATCCCTCAGGGCATTACACGATTCCCAAAATCTAAACAAACTAAACCAGACTGGTGAGGTTCCCTCAGTGGTTATATGAACCTTCTGAGGCTCTATTTGAGTAAGAGTGTCTTCAGCCAGCAGACTGACTCCTAGTCCTTTCCCCCCCACTTATAGCCAACACCTTGCCACGAGGCACACTGCTTCCCTTTCCATGGTATCTACGCACCACAGACTACAAAAGTCATTCAACCAACATTCAGGCATAGGAGGCAAGCACTGTAGATTTCTTTTTTTTTTTCCATGGAGAGGGGAGAATGAGGTACAGAGAGATCAAGGGCTACATTTTGCAGCTAATGACATTTTGCTCTGAAATCTTTCTAGTACTTTAAAAAAATCTCCTGTGTCAGGATTAGCTAAACCACCATAGTTTGGCTAAAATAAAGATAAAAAAAATCTCTCCTGAACTTAAGACCACTGTGTCACAGGGCTAATAGTTTCTTTTATTCTCTCCTGATCCATTCACACCACTAAACTGTTATCACAGGCAGATATTTGCCAACCCACTGATAACACTTCTCTCAAGACCTTTGTAGAATTCAGGATGCAGAAGTAACTCATAATGCAAACTGGGCCTCATCTCTCCAAAAGCAGCATAATTGTATCAATAAAAGCACTGGCTACCTGAAGAAACAGATTCTAGTCTCAATTTTGCTAGAAGTGATCTTTTGGACTCCATTCAGCTCACCATCCAAACAGAGAGCAGCTGACAGCCTTAATAGCAGTGTTTGTGCTCCGGCAGCAGTGGAAAAAGTGAGCCAAAAGCAAGATGTTCCCAGTCCAGGTTCTGGATTTCCCTCTAGTGGTCAGCTTCCAGCAAGCCAAGAACCTGTTACTGCTACAAATGTTCCTGTCCTCTGCTTTATGTGTCCCCATAATGGTTCAGAAATTACGAGCTGAGACTGCACCAAATAAGCAGCATCTCCACTGATTGCCATGACAGCCTTTTCAGTTGGTGCAAGAGAATAATGGAACACCAGCCCTGTTCTTCAAAAAAAAAGGGCTTGTTTTTAATATTTTAATGTTCACACGTATTTTCTCCAGCATCAGCCTTGTATTTCAAAGACCTATTGAGCCAAAAACGTTAATAGGGCATTTACCATTAACTTCTTCCCCATCTATATCAATAACACTAGTTCGATATCCGAGAAGTTTACAGAATAGTTTATCTGTCAGAAGCTTCAAACTTACTTTTCTCAGACATATATTTTCTCAAACTTCCTTCAGCCCCACACTGGGCACATCCTGTTTAAGCAACAATCCCATTCTGGTTATAACCATAACAAGCTGAGCCAGGCATGCAGAGAGGATACAAAATGTATTTATCCACAAAAAACATGATGCAACTTTGGACACAAAACACAACTACCACCTCAATGACTGTTCTGCAGAAACTGTTCACCTGAGACACATTAGAAAACGTGAAGTCTTACTTTGGCCAGTCATACTAGCCCAGAAGAGTAAAGGCAAAAGAGACGAGCCAGGCAGCTCCAGAGAGCTGGCTCAAAACAACAAGGACCACAGAGTGCACAAGTACTTCCTTACCAATAGCCAAGCGAGTTGGTTTCTTCCTTGGGGGGTCCCCAGCACTGGAATTGGTGTCTTCTTCCTTCTATGGCATTGACAAGAAATACGGAAATAGAATTAGGGGGACAGGCAAGCGGTGGCAGGCCTTAAGGATTGAAATTAAGCTACCCTGAGAATAGAAGGAAGCTGGGCCGAAATAGCATGGGCAATCCATACAACAATGCAACATAAGCAGAGCTGAAGGACTGGTGTCCCTCAATTCACCAGGAAAAACATCAGTTGTGTCTGAGGAGAATAAACTGTATCTGGCTGAATAAAGAGACACAGCCCAGCTCTCAATTTCAGAACAAGTTTGAGCATATATATTTTTATTTTTTACCGGTTTACGTGTTCTTTTGAGATGCAGATAGACTCGCTGGCCTGTTTTCTGATAGTGCCTTTCCACATACTGCTTCCCAAAGCCCAGGAACGTGTTCATGCAGATATACAAGCCGCCATCTGACTCCTGGAAGGAAGGAGGAATAAAACTGAAGGGAGGTGGGAAAGAATGCCATTCCAGCTGCTAGGATAGGCACGGAAAACTAGTCATTATTCAGTAAATCATGGCAACAGCTCATTCCTACATACCAGTCACTTAGCAGCGAGTCAGAAATAAGATGGCAAGCCCCTGCCTGGCTGTCCCACAACAGGCACTCCTGTCATGATGACATATTAAAAAAACTATTTGCCTGTTCACTTACGGCAGGGTGCTACTGAACCAGGAAAGTCTGAGCTTCCCCAGGAGTCTATCTTGCAAAAGGCCCTTAGCACTCACAGTTCACAAGTTCAGAGCACAGTACAATCATTACCAGCAAAACTGTGGCACCCTGTCCAAGAGCATGATTCCCAGTGCCACAGGGAATGCTGCCAAGCTACAGTGTGAATAAGGTTAACAGACCACTGTTTACTTTTGCTATTGGGTTCAAAAGCTTGTGAGCAGCTCCAAAACAGACACAGAATGAGCCCCACTATCCCCCCAGCAGCTGGAAAACACCATGCTCGTTCAGCAGAAGTATCCTTTCAAAATTGAAAGGGTGAGAGACCCAAATGCAGAGGCTGGAAAGAGCAAAACCACTAAGGTCTCAGCAGCAGCTGAGACAGTCAGAGTGGGCAGCGCAAGGCTAGGCATCACTGTGGGGCTCGGGGAGGGGAGGACGGCCAGGATGCCATGTGCCGCTTCCTCGAAGGACCCGTATCTTCCAATTACAGCCCATTTCTGGTGGACTGGGGCTCAGCCCGGACGAGCACCGGCGGAGAAGCCCAAGGGGGGACCTCGCTCTCCTGCCGCCTGCGCCTCCCCTGGTCCGCCTAGGCCAGGCGTGGGTAGCGCAGGAGACGCAGGGATGCCGGCGGGGTGGAGATGGCTGGAGAAGGGACCACTGCCATCTTAATGACACAGCACGGCCTTGGCCCCCGCCTGCCGGGCCACACCGCGCGACGAGGCTGGAGGAGGTTCAGACCCCGGCAGGGCGGGACCCCCGGCCCGAATCCCGCCGCCAATGGCGGGCCCGGGGCGCGCCCCGACCCCCCGCCCATCGCCGGACCGCAAGTCCCAGGGAGGCCTCGCAGCGGCGGGTCCGGGCCGGGGGCAACCGCTCTCTAGGGCCGGCCGGGCCGGGCCGCGGCTGGTCGGGGAGAGCGCCCTGCCCACGCCCGCCCTGGTCCCAGAACTACAGCCCCCAGCGCGCCGCGGGCGGGCTGGACGCGCCGCACGGCACGCCGGGCGCTGTAGTTCGCGAGGGCCCCGCAGGCCGCCCCGGCTCGGCCGCCGCAGCCTCCGGGGAACCACAAGTCCCATGAGGTCCCGCGCGGGCGGCGCCCGGGAGGGCGGCAGGGTGTGAGCCGGCCGCGGCGGGAGTAGCCCGGGCGAGCGGGCGGGTGGGCGGGCCGGCGGCGGGGCGCGCTTACCGGCGTGTCGAAGGAGAAGGCGCACTCGTCCTTGTGGACGCGGTCGCCAGCCTTGGGCACCCGGATGGACGGCAACACCGACAGCAGCGCCTCGCTCAGCTCCGCCATGACAGCGGCTCACTGCGGCACCGCCCTCAGCCCCTCCCCGCCCAATCGCAGCCCGGCGCGATCAGGTGGGTTCTGGCCAGTCAGCAGTGAGGCTGAGGGCCGGGCTGGTGGTGCCCACCGGCCGGCTCGGCCAATCGCAGCCACCCTGCCTCCGTCACAGGGGGTGGTGCTGGGCTTCTTGACCAATAACAACGCAAAACGGAGCGTGGGGGGCGGGTCAGTGTCCGAAGATTGACAGCGGCACGAGGCGGGACGTGACGGGCGGGGACAGCGGGGCCGGCGGGCGGACGGGGGCGGGGACGATGGGCGGGGCGTTCCGGGCCACGCCCCCATGCGACGGCCAATGGGCAGCGGCACCGGCCGGCGCGCGGGAGATTTGAACGGCGCGGCTCAGCAGCAGCGCAGCCGTCACTGCCATGGGGGTCTCGGGCAGCGCCCCTGCCACCCCCGCCGCGCCCTGCAACAAGCACCTAGCGCACGTCAGCGACCCCCGCTCCCCCACCGCCGGCATTCTGCGCACCCCCATCGAGGTAGGCGCCCTCCCGGCCGCCGCCGCCCCGCCCCGGACGGCTGCGGCCTGCCGCCCCCACGGCTGCCCTCTCCGCAGGTGGTGAGCTCCCCGGCGGGCAGCCCGCAGCCCAGCCCCGTCGAGCCGCCGGCGGGCACCACCCAAGAGCGGGACCCGCGCTCGCCCACGCCCGGCATCTCCCGCACGCCCATGAGAGCCGTGTCGAGTGGTAAGTGAGGCGGGTGCGGGGGTGCGCGGGGTAGGGGATGCCCAGCCTGGCGGCTCACCCCACCCTCCTCCGCCCCCGGCAGACAGCGTGGACCGCCTAGTGAAGCAGCTCAGCGAGGCCTTCGGGGCAGAGGCCGCGGCCCTGGAGCCGGCGCCGCCGGGAGTGACAGATCCCGCCGAGGAGCCGGCCCGGCGGAGCGCCCCGCCCGCGGTGGGGGAGCCGGAGGGGCCGCTCTCCCCCAGCACGGGCCCTTCTCGGCCCACCCGCCCCGCCGGGCACGGCTTGACCTCCGGTAAGTACTCGGTGTGGCGGTGACAGGGCTCCGTGTCCCCGAGAGCCGCCCGGGTCGTGGTGTGAGCAAGTCGGGGCTCTCGGCAGCCTCGGAATCGGTTGCCTTCTCCAGGCTTTGCCCCCTGACAGAAGCCTTGTCCTCATCCCCCGGTTCGGCTGTGTCCCACCACCCCGGGCAGCCTGATCTGGAGGCTCTGCAGCTGGGAGGCCCCTTTGGGAGGTGTTGGGTTATCAAACCTGTTTCTTTGAAGAGTTGAGAAATTGTGTTTTCAACCTGTAGTCAAAACCAAGAGGTATATGTAAACTGCTCCCCTCTCTGAGATAGGTTTGTGATTACGAAGACCTGTTCAAAGAAACCTTTCAGCTTTTCCTCGGGAAGAGTTAGGGAGCAAGGGTGGGAAGCACGTCACAGTGCTATGGATGAGTCTGTGATGTGGACTCTGCTACAGAAAGCTCTATGCTGAGCATCTCTCCTAGGAGGAGAGGCTGAGAGCTGGGACTGTTTTACCTGGGGTAGAAAAGGCTCAGGGGGTATCTTATAATACACATATAAATAACGGAAGGGAGACCCAGGCTCCTTTCAGTGGTGGGACTAGAGGCGACAGAGACAAAATGGAACACAGGAAGCTTCTGACCATCAGGACACACTTTTTTTCACTGAGAGGGTGACTGAGCACTGGAGCAGGTTGCTCAGAGAGGCTGCAGAATCTCCATTTGACATATTCAAAAATGACCTGGACATGGTGCTGGGCAACTGGTTCTAGGTGGCCCTGCTGGAGCAGGTCCTCTGAGTTCCCTTCCAACATCAACCTTTCTGTGATCCCTTTGCCTAGAAGTCCTCAGCTAAGTCTTTGCTGTATAGGCAAGCAAGCTAGATCATAAAGGCCAGGAGGCATTTAAAATCTAGGACCTTCTAGCCTTGTGATGCACTGATGTGTTTCCTTCTGTCAACTAGTGAGCAAGCCTGTAAGACACAAGCCCAACAACAAAATCATGGCAACATCTGGAGGAACTGGCCGCTCTCCCCTCAGCATTCTACGAGATGATAATTCTCCCAGTACTCCTGCTCCTCGCCAGGTAAAGAAGTCCATCACTTTTTTACATTGTTACAAGAGAGCCAAAGCTGAATGGCCTGAAAATAGGCTACATGTTTCACTGAGAATTACCTAACCATCAATTAATTTGTGTTTTACACTTTGTTTGGGTTTTTTATTTCTCTAGGGCAAGAAGCATGTGTTGGGAGAGAACCTTGGGGAAAAGAAGGAAGT